AAGTGCTAGCCTAGGAGTCCATAGCTTCTCCCCGCCCCCCCACAAGACTTGCCACTAGGGGTGACTTTTTTTTTTTACCTCAGTAACTCCCTTGTAAAAAGAATAGGAATTGAACTTTGAACTTTCTGGGGTTTTTATGTGTTTACATTGTTTACTTTTTATTTATTTTGTATGTATGTGTGTATACACACATGCCATGGCACTGTCACAGAGATCAGAGGACAGTTGCTACAGTTGGTTCTCTCCTTCCGCCTTATGGACCCCTGAGATAAACTCAGGTCTTCTGGCTTGGCAGCAGGGGCCTTTACCCAGTGAGCCATCTCAGCAGCCCTGCTATTTGGGTTTGGAGTTTGGAGTTTTTGTTGTTGCTGTTTTCCTTGTTTGTTTGTTTGAGACAAGGTTATATAATGCAGGCTTGACTCTAACAAGCTCGATAGGCAGCTGTCCTCCTGCCTCTGTCCTAAAGGATACAGGCATGTGTGCCACCATTCCAGGCTTTATGTGGTGCTGGGAATTGAACCCAGGATCTGAGCCGGCACTCTACCAACTAAAACCACATCCCTAGTTCTGAGTTTGTGCTCCTGGCTTAAAGAACTCTTTGCTGTTCCTTCCTGGTCCCTTAGCATATGGTGTGCAGCTGGAGCGGCTGCCCGGGGTTGGGAGCATCCTCTCCTTCCACTTCGGCAGCAGAAGCAGGGCCTGGATGCAGGGAGGAGTTTGTATGATCCTCCCAAGCCTGGCCTTCTGGGGCACCCCTCTGGGTGTGGGTGTGGGTAGAGATCAAAGATTGACTTGGGATGTCCTCCTCAATGGTTTCTCCACTTTATTTTCTGAGACATTTCTCACTAAACCTGAAGCTCCTGGTTTTTGGCTAGACCACCTGGCCAATGATTCTCAGGGATCCACCTATTTCACCCCACTGTGCTGGGTTATGGACCTAGCCTGCCCTGTCCACTCCACATGGGTGCTGGGAATATCACTTCGGTCCTCAAATGTGTGCAGCAAGCTCTTTACTGGCTGAGCCATTGGGGTGCTCTCATTGGATGGAACAGAGCAGGTGCCATCCAAGAGGAGAGGGCCTGACAGGCTCAAATGATACTTGTAACAGTGAAATCTTCCAAGACTTATGTTCATCCTCCAAGAAAAAGGCCCCTACACTTACGTTTCCAAAATTGAGATAAAATTCAGCATTAGGCTGGACATCACACTTCTGTGATCCCAGCACTTAGGAGGCTGAGGAAGGGGGATTGAAATTTTGGGTTCATCTTGTGCTACACAGCCAGCACAAGGCTAGCCTGGGCTACACAGCAAGACTTTGTCTCAAAAAAAAAAAAAGTGAGGAAAGGGAGGGCTAGGGGTGGCTCAGTGGGTAAAGTGTTTGCTGTGAAGGCCTGAGGACCTGAGTGTGGATCTCCAGTACCCACATAAAAGCAGGACACTGTGGAACACATTGGTAACTTTAGTGGATTCCAGGGCTGGATGACTAGCCAGTCCAGCTAAATGCCAAACCCCAGATTTCAGTGAGAAACCTTGTCAAAAAAAAAAAAAAATGAGGGTCAGTAAAATAGCTTAGCAAGCCCAAGCATCTGACTTTGATATCCAGAGCCCACATAAAGACAGGAGAGAACTGATGCCACAAAGTTGTTGCTTGATCTACACACACGTACACACACGTACACACACGTACACACACACACACACACACACACACACACACTCACTCACACTAATAAATAAGTTGGATAGCGGTAGAAGACACCTACCATCAACCACTGGGCACCCACATGCATACACCTGCACATATGCATACACAATATAAAATAAAAACCCTTAAAAACCAAACAAATTAGCACTGAGAGCAGTGAGAGGCATTCTTTCATACAGACCCCCTTGCTGTTTTTCTCTACACATCCCTCAATTCTGTGAGTCCCTCCTTCTAAACCCTCCCACCAGCTCTGTTCAGACACAGGGAAAGGGGCCAGCCTTGTATCTGCCTGCTAGAATTTAATGGCAGGTTCTGGAAGGTTGAGTTTGAGTCATGGGGCCAGACAATGATAATCCCTGTGTCTCCCTCTGATTGTGTGTGTGTCTGTCTGTCTACATTGTGTGTATGTCTTGTTCCTGGGAGCTGAGCAGAGGGCTCCTGTTTTCTGGCCTGTGACTTGTGAGAGTGGGTTGGCAGCACTGGGGAACGTGTACCGTTGTGAAATGGATCCTGGAAGGTGGAGACGGGAGTTGGTCCCTGCTTTTGCGTGTGCAGCATGCCTTGAGCAGAGCCTCAGAAGGATCTACCACGGCTGCCCTGGGTGACAGGAACCCAATGTGGGCATTACTGTCCCTTGCTTCAAATGTCACCCCTGGATCTCAGTGAGATGCTCTGAGTTCATTTTCTTTTAAGATTTTATTTTTATTTATGTGTTGTCTTGTGTGTATGGCAGAGATTGTTGTGCATTAAGTATTCCAAGAGGCCAGAATAGGATGTTGGGTGACTGGAGGCTCTAGAGCTGGAGTTACAAGTGGTTGTGAGCCACCCAGTATAGATGCTGGGAATTGAACTCTGGTCCTCTACAAGAGCAGTGTGTGCTCTTAACTGCTGAGCCTTCTCTCTCTCCCCTCTGGGTCATCATTTCTATCAGATAATGGAAATTGGGAATTTTTTTCCTTCAGTACTGGAGACTCTCTTGCAAACACTCAATACTGAGCTACAGCCCCAGGCTAAGGGGGCAAAAAAAATGTCTTTTTGCAACATGGTTTCATGTAGCCCAGGCTGGCCTTGAGTGCCCTATGTAGCTGAGGATAACTTTGAACTCTGATCCTCCTGCCTCAGACCCCCAAGTGCTGAGATTACAGGCATGTGCCATTATGCCTGGTTATGTGGTGCTAGAGACTGAATCCAGAGAACTGTACTTGCCAGACAAGTGCCTATCAACTAAGCCATCTCCCCAGCCTGAGACTGTTTCTTTAAAGCTTTTTTTCTTAGGACAAGGGAGTGTTTGGTGAGCATACACGACCAACTGTCATATAAAGGATCTTGTTCTCTGGTCAGCTCTTGCATGTATCTGATTCAGGATGAACTGGGGGCCCTGTCTTGTCTCTCTTGTATAGGAAGACTTAGTGCCTGCTCCCTTTCCTACAGACCCTCCTACTATATGGAGATAAATACCCCAGAGTGGTAACGAGGTCTGGCTGTGACCTGTCTCAGCCTGGTGAATAGGCTCTGAACCCCCCCCCCCTTGACTTCACCCACTACAAACCACTGGGAGAGACAGACAGAAAAAGGAGGCGTGGGTGCGTCACAACAGTTGCCTGGTGGCACAGATACCCCATTTTCGGCCAGAGCCACAAGTAATCAGTACAAAGGGCTCCTAGGAAGCTGTTGATTTTGTTTCTTTCTCTCTTTCTCTCTCTGTCCCCCATCTCTCTCGAGTGTGCGTGTGCGTGTGTATGAGTGTTTGTGTGGGGGGCGGCACCTTCGGTCATGTGTCTTCCCTCATCACTCTCTATCTTTTTTGAGACAGAGTTTGAATTGAACCTGAGGCTTGCCAACTGGGCTAGGCTAGCTGACCAGTGAGCCATGCACCACTCTGGCTTTTACGTGGGTGCTGGGATCAAACTCATGTCCTCACGGCTGCGTGACAAGCACTTTATCTACCGGGCCGTCTGCTTGCCGCTTTTGTTTTGCTGCATTGAGACAGGGTCTCTCTCTGTAACGAAAATGCTGGTCCCAAACTCATTTACGTTACAGCTTCCCGAGTGCTAGGATTACAGTGCCGGCCACCATACCTAGCTTCCCAGGAACTTGTTTAAGATAAAGGATAGACGAGGCTGGCAATATAGCTCAGGGTGAAGGCACTTGTTACCAAGTGGGATGATCTGGGTTCCACCCAAAGACCCACATGATGGAAGGAGAGAACGGACTCTTGGAGTTCTTCTCTGACCGCCATACCCACACCATGGCACATGTACGTACACACGCACACGCACGCACGCACACACATACACACACACACACACACACACACTCACAAAAGGCTTGGATGCTAACAGGGGGTGGGCTGCCCAGAGACCCTCACTTCTCGCTTCGCCCTCTGCGCTGAGCAAGTAGCTGACTTCCTGGAAGAGTGATGTCCTAGCTTGCATCCTACACCCCCGTGTGACTTAGGCCTGGCCTTTGCAATAATGATACCTTAGTAGAAAAGGAAACCAGAGATAGACAGAGTGGGCTGGCAGCCCTGGAGCCTGGCAGCCCAGCCCTGTGCCAGGCTCCAGCCATAGGTGTCACCCTGAGAGTTTTCCAGTTTAGGAATCCTCATGCTTCAGACATTCCAACACATTCCTCCCTCTCGGGGCCCAGGTTTCTTCCTTCTACCTCAGATTCTGGGCTCTAGTCCCTATCTGAACACTCAGGTGTCTTGGCACATGCCTCCAGGGCTCAGTAGCCTTCAGCCTGGCCACTCCCTAACCCTCCAGGCCCTTAACTAGAGCACGGCCACGCTCCAGCTTGCTTTTCCCCAGCCTGCTTTTCCGGTTGGGGATTGGAGGTGGTGCCCAGAGCACCCCTGTCAGGGGGCACACCCCGGAAGTCTTAAGCCCGGGGACACTCTGGTGGTAGGGTGGAGGTGAGAGGGCAGATAGAGAGAAAAGCATACAGAATGAATGTCATAGGCTTCGTCCTTCAGAGGCGGTGGCTCCAGGAGGAGGCTGGAGAGCAGCTGCCCTGTGTTTTTACTCTCATGAGTTCTGAGAGGGCAGGCAGAGCAGCATAAGTGGGGGCTTTGGGGAGCAGGAAAAGCTACGAGCCTGGGGAGGAGTGAGTTCTGAAGGAAGCAACAAGCCCCAGGCTACCAGGAGAGCCATATAGCTCATAGATTCTCAAAGTTCTGGCAGGGCTGAGTGTATTGGGAGCACTGGCCTGTCTGCTCTCTCTGGGCTTTCCTAACAGGCATACCCTGCTCTCACCATGTCTCAACCCCTCTTGTCTCCCGACTCCTCTAGGCAGGATGATCCCAGTGGCGGAGTTCAAGCAGTTCACAGAACAGCAGCCTGCATTCAAGGTGCTGAAGCCCTGGTGGGATGTGCTGGCTGAGTACCTTACTGTGGCCATGCTCATGATCGGGGTCTTCGGGTGCACCCTTCAGGTGAGGAGTGAGACAGAAAGGGCACAGCTGGCAGCCCTTAGGATTAGACTTTGAGGAAGTGCCTTCTTGACAAGGGGTGAGACGTGAAGAGGCAGGGCTGCGCTGTGGTACCGAGCTCTCTAGACAAGAGTCAGAGCAGACAGGGGAAGGGGTGTGAAGGATCTGGGTTTCACTTTGGCCATATTCGTGGCCATGCTAATGACTGGGGTCTTGGGTTGCTCTTTCCAGGTGAGGGGTGAGGCCAGAGAGTGGTGAGGATGTGAAGGAGTGGCGCCACACCTTGGCAATGCTCCTCATGAGGGTCTTTTTTAAAAAACGTATTTTCTTTTATGTGTATGAGTGTTTACCTGCATGTATATACGTGTGCCACATGTATGCTTGGTACCTGTGGAGGTCAGAAGAGTGTATATTACGTTCCTTGGAACTAGAGTTATGGATGAGAGGTTTTTTTTTAGGGGGGTTGTTTTGGTTTTTTTGAGACAGGGTTTCTCTGTGTCGTCCTGGCTATCCTGGAACTAGCTCTGTAGACCAGGCTGACCTCAAACTCACAGAGATCACCTGGCTCTGCCTCCTGAGTGCTGGGATTAAAGGCGTGTGCCACCACCACTGCCAGCTGCTGTTTTTTATTTATTTATTTTTTCTGGGTTCAAGTGTTCTTAACCACTCTCTAGCCCCTTCTGCCATGAAGACACTAGTCTTCACTGTGGCTGTGCTTCTGACTGGGGTCCTGAGCTGCACCCTCCAGGTGAAGGGCAGGACCATAAGGGAGCATGGTTTTACCATGGCAACGCTTATGATTGGGGTGTCCTAACTGCACCATACAGATGGGTAAGGTCCTGCTATGATGATGAGATGGGAAAGTGTCCTCAACTGCACCCTCCAAGTAAAGAGTGATCTCTAAAGGGGTAGGCCTTGTACTTGAAGTCCTGAAGCCTTTAAGTCACCCAAGAAGAGGGAGAGAGAGCCTGGGCATCTTGGTGAGTGCCTATAACCCTAGTTCCTCTGTAGGCTGGGACAGGAGGATGACAAATTTGAGGCCAGCCTAGACATCTTAGCAAGACTATCTCTCAAAATTAAAATTAAGGTCAGGTGTGGTGGTATACTTCTGAATTCCTAGCACAGAACATGACTTGGGATTTAGGTTCAATAAAAAAAAAAATCACTAATAAAATAAAAGAAGGGGTTGGGGATTTAGCCCAGTGGTAGAGCGCTTGCCTAGCAAGTGCAAGGCCCTGGGTTCAGTCCTCAGCTCTGAAAAAAAAAAAGAAAAGAAAAGAAAGGAAAGTCAAACAAGAGGGAGCCATTGCCAAAGCTCACACACAGACCAATTCTGACCCTTACTTTCCTTGTCTCCATCCCCACAAGCAGTGTTACTAAAGTCTACAGTAACATTAGGGTGTTTCCCCCACTGACACACTTTTTTCTTTCTTGTGGCAATAGGGATAGAATCAAGGCTTCCAATGCTACACAAGGTTCCTACTGCAGAACCTAACTCTCAGCCCCTCCCTGGGGGATTCTGGGCTAGAACTCTACCACTAAGCTGAATCCTGCCCACGTCCTCTCTTTGACCAGTGTCTACTGAAGTTGTCTAGAAGTTGCGCCCACTCTGTAGCCCAGGCCTCAGCTTCCCAAATAACTAAGACTATAGACTAGTATAACCAGCCCAACTTCCTTTTCTTATAGATGGAATTTTGTTATTGATGGAACTTTAAAATTTTTTTAAATTTATTTGTTTTTTTTGGGGGGGGGCAGGGTTTCTCTGTGTAGTCCTGGCTGTCCTGTAACTCACCTTCTAGACCAGGCTGGCCTCAAACGCAGAGATTCACCTGCTTCTGCCTTCTGAGTGCTGGGATTAAAGATGTGCACCACCATGTCTGGCTTCACAACTTAAAAAAAAAAAAAATAGATAGATGAACTCCCGATCCTCTTGCATCAACTTCCCAAGGACTGTATTACATATGTGCACATAACACTCAGTTTATACAGTGTTGGGGTGGGACTCTAGGGCTTCATCATGCTAGGCAAACACTCTACCAACTGAGGTATATTTCCACCCTAAATGTCTCCTTTCTGGAAGGATCTAGTCCTATAGGATTCATCATAGCCTCACTATGATTACCTGTGCAAAGACCCTACTTCCAAATGAGGTCACAGGGATTAGGGATTGGGATTTAGTTTCTTTTTTGTGGGACCACAGTTCAATACACATATACCCTCACACTCTTTTTTCTTTTGAGACAGAGTGTCTTATATCCTAGGCTGGCCTTGAACTTACTATGAAGCCAAGAATGACCTTAAACTGCTCATTCTCCTGCTCCCATCTCCTGTGTGCTAGGATTATAGGTATGTGTCACCAAGCCCAGTTTATGCGTTGGCGAGAATCAAAACTGGTGCACGCTAGGCAGGCACTCTACCAACTTAGCCACATCCCCCCCCACACACACCCATATTCTTTTCATGTGAAGACAGATGCTGAAGTTTAACAGCTCTTCCACATTTAAACAGCTAACAGCAGTCGAGGATCAGGGTCTCCCACCTCAGCCTGGTTCTCTTCTGTACAGTTCCCCAGTTCCTTCATTGTCTCTCACTCTTTGCCTATCCCCAGGTGACACAGGACAAGATCATCTGCCTGCCCAGCCATGAACCCCGAGAGAACTTATCAGAGGCTCCTTGCCAGCAGCTGTTGCCTCAAGGGGTCTCTGAGCAGATGGGGGGCCTCCGAGAGCTTAGTGGCCTCAAAAACAACCTAGATCTCCAACAGTATAGCTTTATTAACCAGCTCTGCTATGAGACAGCCCTTCACTGGTATGCCAAGTACTTCCCCTACCTGGTGGTCATTCATACGCTCATCTTCATGGTCTGTACCAGCTTTTGGTTCAAATTCCCTGGCACCAGCTCCAAGATTGAACACTTCATCTCCATCCTGGGCAAGTGTTTTGATTCCCCATGGACCACTCGGGCCTTGTCTGAGGTATCTGGAGAGAATCACAAGGGCCCAGCTGCTGGACGGGCCATGGTGACCACAGTAACCGCAACAGGGGCAGGATCGGGAAAGGCAGGTGAAGGTGAGAAGGAGAAGGTGCTAGTTGAACCTGAAAAGGTGGTGACTGAGCCTCCAGTGGTCACCCTGCTGGACAAGAAGGAGGGTGAACAAGCTAAGGCCCTGTTTGAGAAGGTCAAGAAGTTCCGTGTGCATGTGGAAGAGGGTGACATCCTCTACTCTATGTATATCCGGCAGACAGTGCTCAAAGTGTGTAAGTTTTTTGCCATCCTGGTTTACAACCTGGTCTATGTGGAGAAGATAAGCTTTCTGGTGGCCTGCAGGGTGGAGACCTCAGAGGTCACAGGGTACGCCAGTTTCTGCTGCAACCACACCAAGGCCCACCTCTTCTCTAAGCTGGCCTTCTGCTACATCTCCTTCGTGTGTGTTTATGGCATCACCTGCCTGTATACGCTCTACTGGCTCTTCCATAGGCCCCTCAAAGAGTACTCCTTCCGTTCTGTGCGTGAGGAGACAGGCATGAATGACATCCCAGATGTCAAGAACGACTTTGCCTTCATGCTCCACCTCATTGACCAGTATGACTCCCTCTATTCTAAACGGTTCGCCGTCTTCCTCTCTGAAGTCAGCGAAAGCCGCCTGAAGCAACTCAACCTCAACCACGAGTGGACACCTGAGAAGCTGAGGCAGAAGCTGCAGCGCAACACGCGTGGCCGGCTGGAGCTGGCCCTCTGCATGCTCCCTGGACTGCCTGACACTGTCTTTGAGCTCAGTGAGCTGGAAGCGCTCAGACTTGAAGCCATCTGTGACATCTCCTTTCCCCCAGGGCTTTCCCAGCTTGTGAACCTTCAGGAGCTCAGCTTGCTTCACTCGCCAGCCAGGCTGCCCTTCTCTTCACAGATCTTCCTGCGGGATCGCCTGAAGGTGATCTATGTCAAATTTGAAGAGCTCCGAGAGGTGCCCCTCTGGGTGTTTGGGCTTCGAGGCTTGGAGGAACTGCATCTGGAAGGACTCTTTCCCCCAGAGATGGCTCGGGCTGCCACCCTTGAGAGCCTCCGGGAGCTTAAGCAACTCAAAGTACTGTCTCTGCGTAGCAATGCAGGGAAGGTGCCAGCCAGCGTGACTGATGTGGCTGGACACCTTCAGCGACTCAGCCTGCACAATGATGGGGCTCGCTTGCTTGCCCTCAACAGCCTCAAGAAGCTGGCGGTGTTACGGGAGCTGGAGCTGGTGGCCTGTGGGCTCGAACGTATCCCCCATGCAATCTTTAGCCTGGGGGCTCTGCAGGAACTTGACCTCAAGGACAACCACCTTAGGTCCATTGAGGAAATCCTCAGCTTCCAGCACTGTCGGAAGCTGGTCACTCTCAGGCTGTGGCACAACCAGATAGCCTATGTTCCTGAGCACGTGAGGAAGCTCCGTGGCCTGGAGCAGCTCTACCTCAGTCACAACAAGCTCGAGACTCTTCCTCCCCAGCTTGGCCAATGCTTTGGCCTCCGCCTGCTGGACGTGTCCCACAATGGGCTTCGTTCCCTGCCACCTGAGTTGGGCCTCCTCCAGAGCCTCCAGCATCTAGCTCTCTCCTACAATGCACTAGAGAGCCTGCCTGATGAATTATTCTTCTGCCAGAAGCTGCGGACATTGCTCTTGGGCTACAACCACCTAACTCAGCTTTCACCTCGTGTGGCCACCCTCCGAACCCTTAGCCGTCTGGAGCTCAAGGGTAACCGGTTGGAGGCTCTGCCAGAAGAACTCGGTGACTGCAAGGGGCTGAAGAAGTCAGGGCTGCTGGTGGAGGACACCCTTTACGAGGGACTGCCTGCAGAGGTTCGGGAGAAGATGGAGGAGGAATGAAGCCTGGTGGGGGAAGGGGCAGGTAGACACGAGGCCTTCAGATGCTGCTTCTGCCCAGCTTTGTCTTGCAAGGGAAATGTCCAACAGGCCCAGCAGGATAGAGAGGAGAGCCAGACATGTCAGTTTTGTGCAGTTCAGACAAGATCCTGGGACTGGTTTGTCTGGGGGAGAAATAGGAGCTGGTGGATTTGGGGTGTAACCCACAGGGAAGGATTAACTCAGTCTTAGATTCTTGGACCAAAACCATACCTGTGTCTTTGGCTGGCTGGCTTGTCCTCCTCTGAACATTCCAGCTTAATTAGTGTCTTATACAGGAGTGGGGGGAACACAACCCAGTGGGATTTCCAACCCTCCTCAATGACAAATCAGCATACATCTAGGGTTCTCTCCTAAGGAGAGGACACAGGGATCAGTTCCAAACTTCCTTATCCCAACTGTAATGCCAAGTCCTTATTTTATAAGTCCTTTGCCACAAAGATGGGTACTTAGAACAATGATTCTCACATTTAGCTATGTAATAAAATCAGCCGAGGAGCCAGGAAGAAAATAAAACATCCCACACCCCACCCCTGAAATACTGACTCACAATTTTTGGGTGGGGGCCAGGAACCTGCTACTAAGTAAGTATGCCAAGTAATTCTGATTCAGGTGGTCCTGAGACCGAATAATGGAGCTGTTGACATAAAGACTGGGCAGGGACCGTAACTCAGTTGGGAGAGTGCTTGCTTAGCATACCGGAAGCTCTGGGTTCCATCCCAAGCATTTCATAAACCAGGAGTGGTGGAACATGCCTATATAATACTCTGGAAGTGGAGGGAGGAGGATTGAAAGGTTGAAGCCAGCTTGGGAGACATAGCAGAACTTGTCTCCAAAACAACTAAGAATGGAAACCGGAATGTCCACATACAGGGCTCCTCTTCTGGAGCCTTGGAGAATCCCAAGAAGCTAAGCACTGCATTTCCTAAGGAAAAGGCTTATTTAATATTTATGAAAAACTCTGTAAACAAAGTTAGGCAGTCACAGATCCCCATTAGACTACTACTGTCTTAGTCAGGGTTTCCATTGCTGTGATGAAAAAAAACCATGACCAAAAAGCAAGATGTGAGGAAAGGGTTTATTCAGCTTACACTTCCACAGCACTGTTCATCACTGAAGGAAGTCAGGACAGAAACTCAAACAGAGGCTTGCTCCGCCTGATTTCTTTAGAACCCAGGACCACCAGCCAAGGGAGGGAACCACCCACAGTGGGCTGGGCCCTCCCCCATCAATCACTAATTAAGTGCCTTACAGCTGGATATTATAGAGACATTTTTCTCAGGTGAGGCGCCTTCCTCTCTGATGACTCTAGCTTGTGTCAAGTTGACAAATAACCAGCCAGTGAATGTACTATTCATGGGTTTTTTAAGACTGGCTACCTTTTTCCTTAGTACATGCTGGGATTTTCTTTTTAAATGTTTCCTGTGCAGAGATGCATATCCCAGTGGGTGCTTAATAAATGAGAATTGTAATTCTGACCTCTTTGTACACAGTATGGTTGTCTAAGCTTTCTATATCTAGGACCAAATGATAACACCTATCTATTAAATCAGGCTGTCTGTCCTGGCAGGAAAGACATCCAAGGTACTTAAAAAAAAAAAAGGGTGAGGTAGAGATCTCATCTAATCAAGAGAAATTAGGTGGAGTTTTCTGCCTAGTTTTTTTTTCCCCCCTAAAGAATCCCTACCAGGTGGTGGTGGTGCACGCCTTTAATCCCAGCACTGGGGAGGCAGAGCCAGGCGGATCTCTGTGAGTTCGAGGCCAGCCTGGTCTCCAAAGCGAGTTCCAGGAAAGGCGCAAAGCTACATAGAGAAACCCTATCCCGAAAAAACAAAACAAAACAAACAAACAAACAAAAAGAATCCAACCCCCCCCCACACACCAAAGGGGGTGGGGAGCCGGGTGGTAGTGGTGGTGCACGCCTTTAATCCCAGGACTCTCCGAGGCAGAGGCAGGCAAATCTCTTGAGTTCGAGGCTAGCCTGGTCTACAGAGCGAGTTCCAGGAAGGCCAGGATTACACAGCGAACCCTTGTCTCGAAAATCCAAACCAGAACAAATAATCCAATTTCCTCCCCTCATCTTTTATCCTTTTAACTCCAGGCTTGTGTCTGCTCCACCCGTAGGTCACCATCAGAGGAGGTCCAGTAAGCTTTTAAAGGTCCATCCAAAGTGTCCAACTGTTGCTTTCAGACTTGTGGCACAGCCTGACTTCCTGGGTTTGGTCACTTGCTCAATGTCCCTGTACAATGCAAGCTGCTCCTTAGCGACCCAGATTTACTGATAGGGACGTTATCCTAGCACCCTTTAAACGATTTAACTATTTAAGCTTGGCCAGGAGCACCCTCAGCAGAGGCATCTAATCCCAGGGCCTGTCTTCAGATACCTTGGACAGGAGCTGAGCCCGGATTCTCAGGGCGAAGAGATGGGGATTGGGCATCTTAAGGTCCCAGGTAGGCACGGCCAGGAAGTCTGGCCTTACCCTTGATTCTGACACCGAGCTCAGGAATTGCAGACTCTGGATTCCCTCTCCTCCTATCAGGCCTTAATCTACTCTATACTGGCTGAAAAGGAAAGGGATTCCCACGGGTGCCTAATTATGGTGAGGAGGCGACTTCACCGTGAGAGCGGGAGGTCAGGCCACAATTAAGCATAACAGGTCCTAATGAAGAACCAGTCAGGATGAGTGAGGAAGGTTCTGTGAAGACGCGGATGCCAGGGAGGACCAGGGCTGGGAAGAGCTCACAGGAAGTTAACCGAGGCACGGTGCGAAGAAGAGTCCGGGAATAGCCGCGAGCATGCGCAGTAAAAGCTGCGCGCGCGGCCGGTCTCCCCTTCTGCATGAATGCGTGCCGTCTTGCCCGCCTTCCGCTTTATAAAAAAAAGAGAGAAAATCGTGGTTTTTGAACCGCGCCTCTCTCCAGAAAAGCTGGGGACATTCACGCATGCGCACTGCGCGGGGTAGCGGTGGGCGATGACAATGCACACTGCCAGCCTGGAGCTCTAGGTGGCGTCAGTGCCCGACTGGGATACAGTGCGCACGCGCGGCGCTAACCACTCGAGGCAAGGCAGGCACGCGCTGGGTTGGGCTGGGCAGGGCAGGACGGCGGCTCGGCGGGGTCATTGAGGCGCAGGCGCAGTGCGGTGTTTGTCTGCCCCGGACTGACGGGCGGCCTGGCGGCGAGCGGCGGCAGCGGCGGCGGGGAAGATGGCGGCGTCCTCCCTGGAGCAAAAGCTGTCCCGCCTGGAAGCCAAGCTGAAGCAGGAGAACCGCGAGGCCCGGAGGAGGATCGACCTCAACCTGGATATCAGCCCCCAGCGGCCCAGGCCCAGTAAGCACGGCGGCGTGGGGGAGGGGGCGGGCGGGGCGGGGCGCGCGGTGGGAGGCCCCGCCCACCAGGCAGATCCCGCCCCCGCTTCCGGGGCGCCCGCTCTCCTCCCCTCTACTCCCTACCGCTGTCAGCTTGCAGAGAGAGGGTCACGGTGACCTGGGAGTCGGGTGGGCAGTCTCCAGGACGACTTCCTCCCCGCACGTACCGCGATCCTAGGGTTCACATCAGTGGGACATGGGAGCTTAGCGGCTGGGTCCCCTCACCCTGTGGTGCGACCCCAGTGCCTTGTCACCTGCACCAGGCAGGCTGTCAGACCCGAAGCTGCTGAGACCACAGCCGAGTCTTTAACACTGCAAACACTTGTATCTCTTTTGACCCAGCGGTTCCACTCCTGCCGTTTCTGTGACTGTCAAGAGGTCCCCTCCCCTAGCAGAAAGCACACACATGCATACCCATCTGCCCACTTAGGTTACTTAGCCCTCATTTACACCTAATCCTGTTTTGAATAGAGGAGTCTTCCATTTGATTTCTCTGGTCATATCTGATGCCCCCTTCTCCTAAGCCTGGAAGGGCCTGTTATTGGGCTCAGCTGACTGCCTCCTTCGTACAGGGACACCTCATACCTCTGTGACCAGCTCACTTCAATGTTGCTGTCTTAGTGTGTCTGACCCTCTGGAGACACAGCCTGGCAGCTTTTGTCTCCTGGGCTGAAGTGAGTGCTGGTCCTACAGACACCTGTGGCCAGTGTGAATGTATCTCGTCCTACCCAGCAGACACACACCTCCTTCCTGACTCTCCCATCTCTGGGCCTGCCTCCCTGACATGTCCTGTGCCAACAGCCGTTCCCCTTTCTTCCTGTACACAGACCCGACTTGTCACCATCATGACCACAGTTAGCGTCCTTGTTGTACCCCACATACCCCGTCCCCAAGTCCTCTCTGCCGGAAGAAATTTGACTTTGCTCCCTCCTCACCAACCCTGTGATCAGTGCCTTGCCAACCCTTTCTGTATCCCTCTTTATCCAGCAGAATGCCTTCTTTATACTCTCTGTGATATAATCTTTGGAGTATATTATTATAGTTGTCTGTGGGTCACCCTGGTAAAAGGGGAAAGGTAGTCTCCCATAGCTGAGAATTCTGTCCACTCCCTGGTCACCTGGCCTAACCTTCACAGCCTGATCTTCCCCCCCTGAATCCCTCTTCAGGGTTCCCTCCATCCTTCCCTCTTCTGGTCTGAGTCTGCCAGTTTTCCTTCCTGGGGAGTTTCTTCCAGGGCCTGGAGATACCCAGAGGTGGGGATTCTTTTCATTGGATTCTGTCTGGGACCAGATGCTGGGCCAAGCCTTGGAGGGCCCCTGCTGGACTGTGCAGAGCCGTCTTTCCCAGCCCCAGTGTGGATGAGTCAGGGTTGGGCATGGGGTCCTAGGTACCCTAAGAGGTGTCTGTCCCTAGAACAGAGTGAGACCTGGTAAGGCTGGTGGCTGGCAGGCCCCAAGGAGCCCCCCGCAGGTGTCTGTGTCTGTCAGCTCCATGCCTTCCTCCCACCCTCCCATCTCTGTCAGTTTCTACCCATCTCTGCAGTTTGGTGCCTTGCGCCTCCCCTCCTCTTCATTATGATTTGATTTCTTTTCTGTT